GGAAAATTGCGATTTTTAGTCGAAAAATTTGAAATTTTGTCTTGAAACTGTCAAAATCGTGCTTCTCGTGATTTTTTACCCCTGAAAACCAATTTTCAGCTTGATAGCTCGATTGGTCGTAAATTTTCATGCCGTGTCTGCAAACACTTTGATCTACGCGGTGTTTGCAGACAAGACACCAAATTTTACGACACATTGAGCTAACGAGCTGAAGATTGTGTCCTAGGGGTAAAAAGTCTTGAGAAACTCGATTTTGATAGTTTTGAGCCCAGTTTTCAGCTCTGAAACTAGGAAAAATGCGATTTTCAGTTGTTACTGTTGAAAATTTGCCTCGAAATTATCAAAATCGAGTTTCTCATGAGTTTTCACCTCTGGAAATTAATTTTTAGCTTGATAGCTCGATTTGTCGTAAAGTTTGGTGCCTTGTCTGCAAACACTTTGACCTACGCGGTGTTTGCAGACCGGACACCAGATTTCACGACACATTGAGCTAGCGGGCTGAAAATTGATTTCCTGGGGTAGAATGTCATGAGAAACTCGATTTTGATAGTTTCGAGCCTAGATTTCAACTCTGGGACTGGGAAAATTGCGATTTTTGGGTTTAAGGCCTAAATTTTCACGAACCAACCTGAAACAAATTGACATGTCCTGTCTCATCTGAAATGCTAACGTCCTTCGTGGCGGCTCCAGATGACGTGGGGCCTCCAAACATTGTCGTCATTCGATCGTCGGCCTTTTTTCTCAGTTGATTGATTCTTCGTTCGTTTTCTGATTGAATTTGACGGTCCAGGACTCGTTGCTCCTCCTCTGCCGCTTTTCGTTCGTCGCGACGGACGCGTTCCATGTTGGATTTCGTTCGAACGTGCCATGATTTGTGATGAAGGATGTTCATCTGGAAAATCATCGGAAAATTCCAAAAGTTCTAAGCTTTCATAAGTGCAAAAAAGTCTTTTAAAAAATCGGAAAAATTCCAGATACTCGAAATCTCAAGAATTCCGAAAATTCCGAAAAAATATTCGCGAATTTCCGAAAACTGGAAGTTCCAAGGGAATTCGAAATTCCACTTTTTTTAACTTTTCAAAAATCTGAGACTTCTTAAAGATCTGAAATATCCAAAAGTCGAAATTTCGAAAATTTGGAAAAATCCAGGTTTTTCAGAAAATCCTTTTTTCGAATAGAATTTCAAATTTCCTATATTTCTGTCCAAAAAGCACTTTTATAGCTCACCTAGAAGACGAGATATAGGCATTTGACGTTTAGGAGGCGAGAGACGCAGATAACGAGAGCGTCTAACTGTCTGCGTCTCTCCGAAACTTCGAATGCCCATATCTCGGCTTCTAGGTGAGCTAGAGATGTGATTTTTGGACAGAAACATAGGAAATTTGAAATGCTATCAGAATTTCATAAAATTCAAAAAATAGGAAAATTTTTTTCTTTTTTTCAATGGAGCGCATTTGCGGAAAAATAGTGTTGTATTTTCGATGAAAACGAAATTTCTTCAAATCTTTTGCTGAAAAATACTTCCGTGATATATAAAACAATCTTTATTAATACAAGAACCTTCCAATAGAAAAAATTATTATGTCAGTTTTTTTTTGTTGAATATCAGAATCACAGAGCAATTAAAAATTGGGGAAAAATCACAGAAAAATAATGAAAAATCATTAAAAATATCACAAAAAAGGCGGGGTACAAATAAGGCAGAATGGTGATTTTAAAATATAAAATTGGATTTTTGAAAAATTTGAATTTCCGAAAAAAATTGTAAAAATTTTCAAAATTCTTGCCAAAAATCAATAAATAAAATTTTTCAAAATTAGAAAAAATCCCAAAAGAAAAGTACACTGTAAAGCAAGGCGGGAATTCAAATTTTCAGCAAAAATAATATTCTGGAAATTCTCAAAAAATCAAAAAAATCCCTCAAATCGTAGGCACATATAAATGATTAATCGATTGGGCGAGTGCCATGGGGCGCATATGCCCCAGTGCTTCGTTGCAGAACACCTCTTCTCGATGACGTAGCGGACGGGAGTGCTCCACACGAGCCATACGGTACGCACGAGACGCGTTGATCTGAAAATATTGAATTTTTGGGAAAATTTTTTTAAAATTTTTTTTTCTAAATTTAGCTAATTTAGCAAAAAAATTCAAAAAATTAAAAAAAATTTTTTTCTGAAAATTTTCAAAAAAAAATTTTTTTAATTTTTTTTCCCGAATTTTTGAAAAACATCCTTACCACAGTAAGCCGAACCAACTGCGACAATTCGGACATTGTGACGAGTGCTCCATCGAAAAGCGGTCCAAATTCCAGGGCTGAAGCCGTGTCGACGCGTACTCGTACCATCTGGAATTTCAGATTTTTTTGGGAAATTTCGATTTTTGGAAATTTCTGGAATTTTTCGAATTTTCAAGTTTTTGAGATTTTTGGATTTTTGGAAAATTGGAATTTCCGAATTTTTGAACATTTTGTTCATATAACTTGGTGGCCTAGAAATTCGAATTTGCAAAAGTTAGGCCACCATTTCAAATTTACCTAGAAACCACACGAGGTTTTTATTAGACGATTTATAAGCCATAAAATTTGGTGGCCTGTAAAACTCAACTTGCGAAAGTTAGGCCACTAAGCCGACGCGGCCTAAAAAACTCATAAGGTGAACATCAGGCGATTTCTAGGCCATATACCACGGTGGCCGAACTTTCTCGTCCGGGGATTTTCTAGGCCACCAAAGTTACTGGCCTAGAAATGACCTAACATTCACTAGATGCGTTTTTCTAAGCTATTACCATGGTGGCCTAGAAAACTCAAAGTTAGGCCACCATCATGTTAAAATAGTCTAGAAATCACTAAAAATGAATATTAGGTAATTTCTATGCCATAAAAGTTGGTGGCCTAGAAAAGTCACAAGCTAGGCCACCATGGTAAAATGACCTGGAAACCACATCAGGTGAATTTCAGTTCATTTCCAGGTCATTTTTCAGCATTTTCACCGCCTAAAATTGCACCCAAAATCACTGTGGCCTAGAAAACTCCATTTTCAAAAGTTAGGCCACCGTACCTTATCCCCAACGTGCTCCAACACAATCAGAACATCACAGAATTTCGTGGCAATCGTCTCCCGAGTGTAGACTTTTCGATAATTCTCCGTCCACACCACATGCACCTCATCGTTTCCGATGTGCTTCCACTTCTGTTGAACGTCTCCATTCAGCCACGTCGACACGTGGAAGATGGCTTCGGACTCGGCGTCGGCGTAGTACGGAGCACGAGTTTCGACGGGTAGACCTCCGTTGTAGCCTTCGTGGCCGCGACCCACTGGAAAAATGTTGTTTTGAATATTTTGGGTTACTGTAGCTCTAATTTTCGAAGATCGCAGAAAAAATTTTTCGAATTTTTTTTTTGAAATTTCCGAAAATCTCTTTTTCCTATAGAATTTCCAATTTCCCACTTTTCCGTCTAAAAGTCACATTTCTAGCTCATCTAGAAGCCGAGATATAGGCGTTTGAAGTTTTGGAGAGACGCAGACAGTTATTGTCTATTCAAAATAATCGCGCGAGTGAACGAGTAAAAATGTCTGCGTCTCTAAAGCGCCTCTACAGGTTTGGAGACTCTCTACACGTTTTTTTACTCGTTCACCCGCGCGATTATTTTGAACAGACAATAGACGCTCTCGTTGTCTGCGTCTCTCGCCTCCTAAACTTCAAATGCCAATATCTCGGGTTTTAGGTAAGCTAGAAAAGTGTTTTTTTTTTGACAGAAAAATAGAAAAATGAAGCTTCTAATGGAAAATATCCTGAAATTTCAGTGAAAAATTTTAAACTTTTTTGCTGAAATTTCAGAAAATATCATTTTCCCTAATAGAATTTAAAATTCCACATTTTTCTGTCTAAAAATCACATCTCTAGCTTATCTAGAGGCCGAGATGAGCGTCTAACTGTCTGCGTCTCTCCGAAACTTCAAATGCTCATATCTCGACTCTTCTATGTGCTAGAAAAGTGTTTTTTGGACAGAAAAGTGTCAAATTTGAAATTCTATCAGAAATTAGAGCTACAGTAACCCAAAAATAACAAAGTCCTCACCCCTTATCTCCCATCCCAACTCTCCAACAAACGCGTCAAACTGCGGCGACGCTACCGTATTCGACAGTATCGATGCGCGATCCTCCTGTGTGTCGCCAACATAAATCACAGCGATTTTGTGTACTTCTCGAGAAGAAGTCTGATCCAGATGCTTCAAATCTCGCAGGAAATTCGTATGGACTTGTGAGACGAGAGGCACGAAGCCGAGAGACGCAGACAGTGAACGCCATTCGAGAAGTTTCGAGTTGGGTTGGAATGCGGGTGGGTTACTGTCGTTGTTATTGTTGGGGGAGCCGAGCGGTTGAGGTTGACGGCGGGAGGTTTCGATCATTGAGGCGAATTGGGCGGAGCCTTCGACCGGAGAGGAAAGTTCTGGAAAAAAAAAACATTTTTAAATGAATTCTAGGTCATTTTTAATGAATTTGGACCGTTTTTCTTAAATCCCGGTCATTTTTTTTTGTGAATTTTGGATCATTTCCCCTTACTCGACGACGACGCATTCGACGCTGACGACGGTGCTCTTGGCAGGTCATCAAACGGATCATCCATCGCTCCTAGGATCCCCTGACTCTCCCGTCCCGCCTTTTTCCCCTTCAACGCCTCCTTTCGCAACCAATTCGTCACATGGCGGGTCTGATGACGTGGCATTGTTGTATCCAACGTATCCAGGTCCCAAATGTGTCGTCCGACAACGGTCCGTGATGTAATTTCAAATTTCGCGGCGTCCCTTCGAGCCAATGAGATAATTGCCGATTGCCGATTAATGTACACCATCTTGTCCTCGTTTGCTGGCAACGCAGCCGCCGTTGAATTCCATTTGGAGACGTCGAATCCACGTATGGGGTATTGTCCGCCGAGTTGCACCAATTCCCCATGGAGTACCATATGACGATCGGCGAGAATGCCACGTATCACTAGCGGCATTTGTGGTTGAGGCCATTGGACGCAGAGTTTGACCATTTGCCACTCGATTTCTGTGCGAGTGCGTTCGTCGCGGAGCAGGGAGGCCGCGCGGAGGAGTGCCTGCAAATTTTTGAATTCTAAGATTCTGTGTGTGTGTGTGGGTGTGTGGGTGTCCGTTTGTTCCCGGGTCGTTCCCGGGTCGCCGACCCTAGCGAAGTCTAGACTAGACCTAAATTTTTCAAATTTTCACAGATAATACGGAATAGCAGCGGGATGGTGCCCGTTTATTTCGATTTTGATAATATCGAAAATTGAGGTCATAAGACTACAAAAACCTCTTTTTTTGGGAACATTTAGGTTTGTTTATTTTCAATGGTAGGCGTGAATTTATTCATGAACTTGTCAACCTACAAGCCGGGGGCTCAACCTCCTGGCTTCCGCTGTAGAAAGAGATTAACGTCTTCAGAAGACGTCAGAAACGAAATTTCGAAAAACGATGATATCGGGCATCATCCCGCTGCTATTCCGTATTATCTATGAGAATTTGAACAGTTTTGGTCCAATCCAGACTTTGATAGGGTCGGCGACCCGGGAACTAGTGAAGATAAAGTGCAACGGAGCGCACTTACCTGCAACAACGTAGTGCTCGAAAACTGTGCCAACGCGGCGATCGACATGCAAAACAGCGGGATCAATCGCATCGCAAATTGATGAGTTTCGATGACTTTCAACGCGGAGAGCACCAAATCAATCTGCGCTTTTTGAACGATAAGTGTAGCTAGCGTATTCACAATGACCACCGCGTTCTCGGCAACCTCCGTGTGGACTAGCTGCTCCAGAAGAATCTGTTCAGCTCCGGGATATGAGCTAGAGAGCATTGCGAAGAGTTTCAAGGAATCCTTCGATTTGCCGTCCTTGGAGCCCCGCAGCATTTTTGGCAGATGCTCCAGTGCTCGCGGAGCAACTATCGAGAGTTCACTGGCTGAGAGCCCACAGATTGCAGGGACCACAAGTTGCTCTTGGATTGCATGAGGCGGATGAAGCAGAGAAGGATGTTGGCCGAGAGGAGGGGTGGTGGACGACGGACTGATTCGTTGAGGATTGCGGAAAGGGCAGGAACGCATCTGGGGAGGAGGATGGGTGGTACGGTAACGAGACGGCACGCGAGCCAATGGGCCAGGGGGTGGAGGTTGACCTGAAAGTTAGATTCGTAGGATTCTTAGATGGAGGTCTTATATCCTAATTTCGTGAAATTTCTCTTACCGATAGCAGGTTCTTGATAGTCAGCGACATACAATCGATTGCCACGTGTGCACTGGAATTGGTATACGGGTCGACGAGCGAGATGACACGACGCCAGGTTTGGAGCCATGCGAGTTTGTCGCCGGACCATGACTGAAAATCAATTTTTAGGAAGATTTTGCTAAATTCCGAGTTTTTAGGGTTTTTAATCATCTATTATAGCACACGGCCTCGCGGAAGGGAACCTAGATTTAAAAATTGGAAATCGCGCCAAGTTTGGACGTGTAGCGCGGTCGCGTCGCGGCTTTTCGGTGAGTAGCGACTCAACAACGCTTAACGTCACGTTTTTTTCAAAACACGTTTCAAAATTTTCGAATCTGGCACGCAGCCAACTTTTGTGTGCGACGAAGCGCGCGTTTTTCAGGTTCCCAACCGCGATGCCGTGAAAAAATAACTGAAAATCAATGAAAATCGACTGAAAACTTTCTTGGAAAAGGCAAATTTCAAATTCGCGCGCTTTTTCACCCATAAGTTCAGTGGAGCGCGCTTGCTTTTTCACCTATTATTGGACGAATTTCGCTTATTTTCTGCCGATTTTCGATGAGAAAAACAGTAAAAAACCTAGAATTTTTTGGAAATAATGATTTAATGAATTTTAGGTCAGTTTTTATGAATTTTGGACCATTTTTCATGAATTTTGGACCGTTCTTCACGAATTTTGGTCTATTTTTCCTTACCGTAACCGCATTGGTAATGTCATCCGTATCGTGAAACACATTATCCTCTGTCAATGTGTTCGTCGACGACATTGAATCTCCTCCTTCCAGCGACTCTTTTCTGGGCTCTTCCATCATCGCCGCCGCCGATTCGATGGCTTGTCGTCGGCTGGTTTGGGAGACTTCTGTTGCTTTTCTAAGAGCCTCTTCACGAGAAAATATGTCAATATGGGCTAGATGAAGGACCAGGGCTCGGGTGACACTGTTCACTATCTGAATAATTGGATTTTTCAGCATCATTTTTCTTAGTTGAAAAAACTAGGTCATGACCTAGAAAATTCAGGTCGTGACCTAGAAAAAGCTAGGTCATGACCTTTTAAGGTCTTGAAAAATTAGGTCAAAAATAAATTAGGAAAAAAAATTAGGAACTATCTGGAGTCGTCTCCAAGTTACACTCCATGACCTATATCACTAGAAAGCCCATAAAATTCTGGTTCGGAATATGTTTCCTGTTTTTGCGAAACGGCCAAAGTTCCTGAAAAATGGTCCGGAATTCATGAATAATGGGCCTTTTTTCATGAAAAATGTCCCATACTTCGTGAAAAATGGTCCAAAACTCATGACAAATAGTCCAAAATTCAAATTTTTGCAGGCCACCAACGTCGCTCTGACGCTAATGCGTGAAGCGATGAAACTTCCGCTAGCATGCTCGAATGTGACTCATAAAGTGGTCAACGTGCTCTCCGCCTGGCT